TTTTTCAGTTAGTAAAAGACAATACATCCTGTCTTATACCAGAATGAATCAGTCGACAATGGTACTGATAACCACTCCTAGCAAGGATTTAAATATTCCGATGATACGAAAGCCATAGACAGCTCTGATTCCAAGACACTTACTCGAAACTAATCTTTTTCTAGTGTAAACCCTTTATTACAGAAAGTCATTACACACCAGAAGTCAAAGGAAAGTGTTGACAAAGAACTTGAACAGATTTCTACATCGGTAGTAATGGTTTTAGTAAATACCTCATTCAAACAATGCCATCTGACAATCACGTCAAGTAAGGACTAATCGTGAATCAAACCATACTGTTGGTGTAGAAAACACTTCGTAGAACTGGACCTAATAGCGATTTACTAGAAAGCTTAGAAACATGTCAAGAAATTTTTTAGCAAAACTAATGCAGTATAATCGCAATGCTTACAGCTATTGGTTCTATACAGTAAAATATCCGAGATATCTATGACAAGGAAGTGATTGTCAGCAATTGTGAAACATTACAGCGTATAAATTCTCATAACATCACAAAAACAATATATTTTGTGTACTGCGAGATACCGAATCATTAGAAACCTATGACATTTTTAAAAAATGCTTTATAACTAAAAGTCTATTCAAAAACATGTTTGATTAAATGCATACTGAAAGAAGAAAAAAATAAACAATGTAGTTCAGTGGAAGTTATTTCTAACGATATATATATATATATCTATGATATACCTTTATGCTCAATGCTTAATGTTATTTAGTAGGAGGAGCTTTTAAGTGCTATTTCCTCAGTCTTTTATCACAACACAAATCAAGTATGGATCTCCTACATCCTACAATAAGTGAATTTGTTACAAGAATTATATATTCACATCAACTGTTATCACATCTTATCTCTTCTGGAAGTCCGATCATGTAAATTCTAACAAGCGAGTCAGTTCCTTACATCAGTAAAAAGTTTCTAATAATTTCTTTACTGAATATAAAAATAAAAGTAGGATTCTCCTCTTGTGTATTCACCAAAATAAATAACAACCCACAACTAGTTAATAAACTTGTATTGTTATTGATCATTCTTGCTCGTCATAATTTCTTCCTTTTGCGAAAGTAGCACTTTAAACCCTGCAATTCTTGCATGTATTTCAGCAAGCAGAAAGTGTAAAGTAAAGCGTCTTTAGTATTTCAAGTTGCATATATTCTATTTTCATTGGGTTTCAAAATAGGATTAACTGGAGCAATAGAACTTAGGTTAAAAATAACAAACCAGATAAGAGTACCTTAAATTCAGCTAAATCATGCGTGTTAATAAAATATAGTATACTACAATGACGTTTTTTGAAAAAGCTTGATAGAAAACTACTTCGTGTGTGTATATGAAACATGTAAACTGTGATAAATTTAAACTGACAGTGATGCACCATTGTAACATTTAAAAAAAATCAAATAAATTCATGCAGCAAGCTAAATTATGTCAGATAACAGGGATGCCAGTCTTATTGCCTGCATTTTGCGCTAATGGATCACGAGGAGTTACACAACACTACTTCAGGTAGTATGACGTAAAAATAAATGTACTCCCACAGAAAATTTTATCACTCTAGGACTGTCGAAAAAGTTGAGACAGAAAACAAACTATTCATTTAACCAGTTTAGTAAATTAATAGACTGTACGCGAGCACATATTATGTATTAAAAGATAGTTTGTGTTAGGCTGAACAGTTTCACTGAAATTGACAATATAATGTGCTGCCCGTTCAATACTTCAAGCTAAATTTAAGATCGATATTGTGGTTTTTATTCAGACTGACAAAAACAGATTAAATTTAACTTATTTCGAGTGAGCGAACTTCAGTCATATTTCTCTGTGTGGTCTAGACATGTTTTAGAAAAGTATTCACTGAGTATAACTCACAGAAAATCTATATCTGATTACTTATCATGAATCTAGTAAAACTGTATGGTTTACTGATGTCCATGCTAAGTTTGAAAAAAGTTTCAAATAGCAGATAAGTTAGTATTCATTATATGTATTTGAAAACTAAACATGTAATTATTTCTCAGTCACTTTACTATTTATTGCTAGTAGGCTTATCAAAGTGATGATTAACTGCAATTTATTGAATCAAAGTCTATCTGTAATAAAAAGATCAGTTTTTCTCTACACTTTGTAACAAAGCAGTTAGAAAAAGCCGGTGCAGTACATTAGACATAACTGTATGAATTACATTATTACGTGGACACTTCACGAAAACTCCAACTACAAATGTCAGTAGTACTATTCCATAGAGGACTAGTTGAAACCAGCTCAGACTTTGTTATAGCTCTGCATTCCATAGTAAAATATTTCTTTTACGTATCTGGTTTTTATTCTAAATTAAGGAAGCTGAGCCATTCAGGAAAGCATATTCGGGATGTCTACGGAGTCGCATACCGATCAACAGACACATGCCATCGTTGAACTAAACCCCCAGCTCTCAGACACTAACTGTCGGGTTCGAATCTGACTCTACCTAGTCCATTAGAGGCAACTTTTCAGTATCATAACCTCTCACTAAATAAGGAACATATTTCAATTTATTCAATTTTTAACGAGCTAATTCAGATAACCATTCATTCGTTGATGGAAACAGTTTCAAACATAAGAGTAGACATTATCTCAAGCCAACACCTAGTTATGAAGTGGATCGACGGAAGATTGTCGCTTCATCAAGAACACCTGGGTGGATTCCGACCATGCATCATTCCATGGACGTATATGAATACGAATGGAAGAACGAAGAAAACAAGTATTTGTCAACAACCTTACGCGGGCAGCTTCAAGGTGAGAAAATGAATTTCGAATTTAGAGATGAGGCCGATCTTGTGATAAACACAAGTAGAAAAACTTGGCTAACGTAGTATTTAGGATCCATCGTTCTACGAACACAAAGTGAAACCAAGATAAAATAAATATGGGGAGATCAGGTGGACTTCGGACCCAGATAATTATGGGTTAATTACATCCTTACTCCACTTCATGCCGTGACAGTGTTTGATTTGGGGGGTAGGAAGCCCAGATACTATACCGTCTGTAATCAAAATATCCTACTCCGACTTTTGCAGTCGTGTAACAGCTTTATGAGTCTTTATCTGCACAAAAGATAACAACTAACGTAGATAGGGATAAATATAGCATAAGCCGGGTGTGCTTAGTGCAACTATTCTGATTTACATTCTTCGCAGATATACTAATAGAGATGTCATAAAAATTGACTTGTTAACGGGGAAGTCTTGTTGATCAAAAATGTGCTTATGATATCGACCTCTTAGATGAGGATTTGGACTTAATGTAGTCCTCATTCAACGGATTTAGTAATATCTTCCCATTTGTTAATTATTACCGCCTTTTCCAGCAGACTCAATACCGCCAAAACCTGTACCACATCAATGTGAAATAGGTATTGGTGCACCTCATGCCTATGGGACGTTGTGTGGTGAATAAGGTCATGATGAATGGTCAGCTGGTACTGCACTGTATGAGGTTAGACTTGATCCATTATTTTCTAGGTTTGGATTATTTACTGTAGGATAGCAGAGGAGTAACTCGTTTCAAACTTTATCTTCAATATGAAGATTTGCTGTTCTTCTCAATTTTTCTGCTGCAAACGAAAATTAACAAAATAAAATTTATTCTTCTGATCACCGGAAAATTACTCAATTAATTCAAGTAATTTATCGTACTTATACAGCAGTCTTAATTCTTCACCTCTTGTGTCTAGGAAAGCAACAATCCTTTCCTTTAGTTTCTTCAGCAGTGTGCACCAACTGCTATAGTCCCAAAATAGGACGAAACAGCTGTCCAGTGCTCCTGGATTCCCAATAATCTCTGTAAATGATGTAGATTAGTGACAAAATCTAACAATTGAAATTAATCTAAATTTGGTCAGTTGTTGCAAAATCGGAGTGAGTCAATAAGTCTTAAATCACAAACTCGACACGCTGTCAAGGAAAGAACTTCACAAAAGCATGCTCTGGATCAGAATGAGTTTGTAATAGCTCAGATGGAAACTGAACGCTTTCCGCGTACAACAGCATACACTGAATTTGTAAAGTTAGATGTATATGTTGGTTCCTCACGAACAACTTTAGAAGGTCCCACCAAAAAGTTTCGTTCATATGAACAGTCAACCTCTACCTCACCTTTTTACCGGTTTGTCAGAATGCCCACCAAATTAAACTTTGGAGAGAAATATTGTCTCCACTTTGGATGAAGACCGTAGTTTGCAGTCTGAAGAATTATCACTGTCAGATGTTCCAATACAAATTTACAGACCCTGTTGCCATATTATACTGCTTGGTGGTTTAGTTGCTTTGCTTCGGGATCAGAGAGGCATTTTACGAAGTCTCGTTCATGTAATCCACGAGAAGGAACTGAGACAAGAGTATCTTACTTTAATCGCTTATGTATCAACTGTATATGGTTCAACAACACTGCGTCCTCACACTCGTTCGAATTATTTATACCCACTGGGCAGGTAACTCTATATGTCCACCGTCAATGGATCATCCGAATTCGTATAAAAAGCACCGGCTTCAACACATTACTGTTTTCTCAGTGGTATACGAACTAACGACATGCATTCACACATAGATGAAAATCAAATGCCTGGTTTACAGGTCAGGTGAAAAACACTAAATCATAATGTCTCCTTCTGTTTCGAAACACAGCTGAAGTATTCAGCATGGGGATGAAGACTTCATTGGAGGCCCAGAAGAAACAGAGACTATACTTCCGAAAGTGAATACGAAATTCGCAGTTGCCTGAAATCAAAAACCTGGCGACACTACATTTTTCACTGGTCATATTGATTTTGAAACCAAAAGGAATTTCGCAGCTGAAGTAACCACTTACCTTCAAAAAACATGAGTGTACCCAACTGCAAGGTGTCACACTCTCAGAAAGCAGAACAAATCAAACCCACCCTTAAAAATTAAAAAAATGAAGATTTCATAATGATCACATTTATTGCCTGAATATTAGTCAAATTTGCTTTAGATCAACAAGGCTTCAAATTGTTCTCGCAAATACTTTACGAATCACAGAGAAAGTGTAGAGAAGATATACTGAGTGCACAACTTTAGTAACCACAGGGAGAATATGAGTTACAAATGTTTACACTGAACTAGTTGAGCATCAGTCTGATAATTTTCAGTACATGCAATACACTGCATAATAGTCACAACGAATTCTACGGCAGAAGTACATACACCATGATATTTTGTGACTTGCAAACACAGGAAACAAGATTTCTAAGAAACACTTGAAGAATAGGAAAACGGCAAAGTTGTAAGGGAGAAACAGAAATATGGGAACACAGTCAGTTCATATTAATTCAACGAAGTTTGAATACCACTGTAGCAGATGGAAGGCAGTCGATAAGTTCTATTGCGAACAATAATCTCAAGATACATCTAAAATAGAAAGAAACAACAATGTGAAATACAAACATATTACTGGTTTGAAATATAAAATACAATTATGTAGATTAATACATTGCATATATGAATATATTTCGCTAGTTGGGACAAAAGATGAGAATGAACGATAACCACATGTATGACGTAATTAGTACCACGCCAACTTTCTAGTAACAATAAACATTGAGATATGTCATAGTTCTGAGTCGATGATACGTTCCAGCCGTATCGAACGATTAAAGTTTACCATCTTGCATTTTTCTTACTGTGTTTGCCAGTATATATAAAGAGTTCAATAGCTGTTCACGGGAAGTTTGCACTGTCATTTAAATCGATGCCGATTACTTGCATTGTTCAATTGGCATTTTAGTAGGTAATAGTATTCACAAACTCGTTAATGTTAAGAAATGCTTTAAAAACATTTTAGCACGTGGACCAGATTCATATTTCCAGAAGACACTTCAGTTGTGTGGTCACGATGGCACTTTCAGCTAAAGTATCATGCTTCACAAACCAGCGTACTGACATTTGGTGATACAATGACAGCTGCTCTTTAAAACTTGATTTTGTAGAGACTGAAGTCAGATAGAGAAAGAATGGATATCTGGAAATCTATTATCTATGAAGACTGTTTCAGCTAATTTATACACACACAGCAACAGTTTAACAAGTGTCAATTAATGATAGATATATAAATAAAACTTACAGCTCATCGGAGAGTTCTGGAATCGGCTACAAAGCTGATCATGATTGAACTTCAGAAATGCTTCATATTGTTCTACAATTAGTGTAGGAAAGAAAGTACTCAAGTCATATCAAAATAAAAGATATATTTTCCCCTATACAAATATCATATACGATTTACTCGAACTAACCTAGTTTTTACCGGAGGATAAAACAATTTTTATCACTTTTGCAGCTAAATGATAAACGATAACTACAACAAATTTACTTCCGCTATTTTAAATAGATTACTTTGAAAACTGATTTTACGACTATAAAGGCAAAGTAGTTACCTCTTTGTTAATCATAGTACAGTAAGTACTGTACATCCCAATAATCGCCAATTTACGTTATTATCGCAAGCTGACACTTTTCCCTACCAAATATAACAGCTTAATCTCACTGCAGTTGCAATGCTTAAAGCTAACATGATAATTATAGTCTTCTTAGTGTAGAACTCCACGTACACTACCGCTTGACTTTCGCTAACAACGATATCTGGTTAACGGTTTAGTCTACCTACAAACAGGGTTCAATACTAAACCAAGTGTAGCTTAAAAAATTCGTAAATTGACCAGGATGTTACATTAAAAAACTTACCAGCTAATTTACATGATAATATATTGTCATATTCCTCTCGTAACTCGTCCTCTCGTTCTTTCATTAGGCGTTCGCAAAGAGCTGTAACTTGTGGCAAGGTGAAGATAGGCACTGAATCCAAATTACGGACAGACTGTGAAGACGGTTGAGAGGAAGGAACAGAGGTAGTGCCAAGTGTTGGAAACGCAGGCTCACTGTTACGCAAGGGTGACTGATCACTGTCTGAATCTTGACTATCTGTAGTAGGTGATCGCAAAACCATGGATCGGAAACTGCCACTGCATGAGGCAACCGCTGTGATAAAACAAAGTGTAGATAAATTAGAAAAAATGACCTAGGAAACCAAACTTTTGTACAGATTATTACTTCATCGTTGAACCATTTTAGATACTAAAAGCGAAAAATAATTGACATTCACCCATGTATTTCGCCGATTGACACACATAATGTCCGGTTACTCCAGTTGAGTTGCTACACACATTGATTGATAACTCTTATAGTCAATTTTTTATATAATTCAGGGAAATAAAATCTAATGTGGAGAGGTTTGCAATCGAATAAGATTGAAGGAATGTATTAATAATCAGATTCCTAACCAAACAGCCATATTACCCTGCGACGTCGCCTTAGAGGGAACTCGCAGTGATCGAAGCATGTAATACCAACCAACTCTACTAGGTATCCTTTAGAGGTTTGATATCGAGAAACCACAGACTTCGTATAGACTAAATTACTGTCTGTCTAAATTACTGCCTTGTGCACTTGTACAACTTCAAAAGAATTTATCCGGTGACAGATAACTTCACAGTTACACACAGTGAATCGGCTTTTGATGTACAACCGCATGCAAAATGTGACTGCGAAATCATAAAGGCATTACTACAACTTTAAAATACCAATTTGTTAGTCAGTATTTAGATAATTTCGGATATTACATAAAATCGTTACTTAAGTGAAAATCAGTATACGAGACCATGTATTTGTAACTTACCTACATTATCCTGCACATGACTAGTAAATGTTGTACTTATTGCTGGTGGTGGACCACCTAAAAACCGCGGAATCAAACGTCGTCGCTGTAGGCGTTTAATTTCTTCTTTGATGCGACGCTTTAGCTGGGCTAAAATTGACATAAAACACAATGAATAAGACGCTGTCCATGTAAAACGACAAAGCTTGGAAACTTACTAGAAATTAATAAGTATGAAAACAATGAGAATTCGTAGAAGCTTTAAGTGAGATATCTGCTCAGAAAACACTCAATACTTCACTACATGGATTTACACGCATATTGTCATATGAACTACTACAGAATAACAGAACTGAGAATGTTAACAATATAAATGCAGTGGACATGTTACAGTACTGATTTCTGCAATCAACTTCTAATCGATCTGAAAAGGATTTCAAACATGCTTTACCTGAGAGGTTTTGACAGCCAGGTAGTATTATAGGTCCATAACAGGAAAGTATATCACCATTCAGGATAACTAACTGAGTTTCCGACGTAGGACTTTGCATAAAAGGGCAGAAGTTAGAGTCACTATGCTCCATATAGCACCCTGTGGTGACGGTCAAACTAAAAAACATGGCATCAGTCAATGATATCCATAACAATTAGTTTGCGCCAGGTACGGAGGTGTAGACTTCCTAGTTGGGGTCCTCGGGATGGTAGAAACCAACAGATGGACAGAATCGGCGACTTAGCTCAAAATTGTTCTCAATGGCACAGTTGCATTGACTCTTTGTGATTTGTCGTACCCAGTGAAACTACTGTTCTCCCACATTACCATCTTTTTTCCCACACACTTCTCGTTGCCTGTTTTGAATCCTTTTTTCATTCTCTTCTCTTTCTCTGTGTGCTACATGGTGTGGCAACTCAAACTGATGAACATCTGTGCAAAGTTCTACGTTAAAACCAGTAAGTCAGACAGCCATACAACACGCAGAGAAAAAAATGTTAAGGAACTATAACTAATTGAGATTTGCGGAAGAATAGAGTGAGGACGACATTCAGCCACATTATAAAGTCGCCAGCCACCGAGCTTAACGTCCTAAGTGTCTCAGCCAGCCTACACCTCCTTAAGTGACTAAAATCAAAAGTCAGTTGCTCCATGGATTGATGCCAGGTTTTGATAAGACCATCCCCAATTTCTTTACATCCTAGTCCTATGTCAGCTAGTACTGCAGGAAAAGGGAAAGAATGATTTGAAATGGAAGCATATCCTGGCTAACAATGTGTCTCATTAACTGACTTTACCCCGTTATCTTACACGTAGTTAGATCACTGCTTTGTTCATCATATTATACAACTTAACAAAGGAGGCAGGAGAAACGTCCCTATACTCTATATCGACGAGACTGCTGTTTGATAAAAATCCAATCCTTAAGTCGCTGAAGTCTATTAAGATCACATCTATTAGTGGTTGAATTCGACAAAATACCTTTAAATTACCCCGGGTTGTTATCTCTTCATAATCCCTGATATGGGCCGGCATATAGATGGACATATCTTGCCAGTAATCACATAGTACTTCAAAACATATCAGAAACACACGCCCTATACTCAACTGACATGCCTGTCAGTGTCATGGGAACCGCCTGATATGATAAAAGAGAATGTTAGCGCTGTCAATTCGGCGAGTTATAGGCCAGTAACCCAATAAATCAATACAGTTTTAATTTGAAATACGAAAACATAACTTGACACCAGTATAATCTAGGTTGGTAGTCTAAAATTACCTAAGCAAACAGCTGTGTTCCCTCATAAATGAAGTCGAAAGACTTGCATCATAATAAAAGAATTAATAAATAAACATACCCTGAGTTGACAACTGCTTAGGAATAAACGGGGACTCCGATGCAGTTACTTCCGTATTGCAATTTGGAGAAAGTGTCTGATACCGTCTTTTTTTCGAACACGTAGACTCCAAAACTTCAAAGTTATGACTTCTTTTCAGAGTAGCGCAAGCCATGTTATGTATTAGATTGTTATGATCTCTAGCAACGCGGGTCTGTAATGCACTGCACCTCCAAATCCAACCAGGACGCCAAATGTCACCTGTTCCCAAGATGTATTGGCGCTAGGAGTGGGAATTACACTCATGAGTTCACTAAAACAACACAAATAATCCTTTTCACAATTTTCACAATACAATATCCGCGAATAAAAATAATTCCGTTAGGCAATCTGCTTATGTCAAAAGAAACTGGATTGTCGCCATGGCACTTCAAATACATCCCCTTTGTGCGATCAAATGTACATTTACTCTGAGATTTACTGTGCATGCAGCCAATTTAATTTTAGTCGCTCCGATCCCCGAAAAAAGGGTCCCATGATTACCAGTTTGTATGTCGTAGAAATACTATATGCCGTGATCCACAGCCATGAAGCGCAGATAAATGCGACCTCAAGTATTTGGCTGTTTTTACCCAAAACAAATTCTGCGAGACACCTTTATTCTTTGGACATTTGTAAATGATTATATTTGTAAAATCTCAGCGAAATTGAAATTATTAATTCCAACGTTTCGGTTGGCAATCTGGTCAGAACTGCCAGACAGATAAATGTCAGAGAGAAAAAGTATTAACAATGTCTAAAGGAGGTTCGAAAGACCTCTGCAGACTTAAAGAAGCTGGAAAACAGATCAGCGATTACGCTGTATTCGATAGAAACGAAACACACAAAATAGACTTTGATTGAGCTAAGGTTTCACAGAAAGGTTTTGGTTCGTATAAAGAAAGACTGACTGCGAAAGCCCTACATATACGGATGAATCCCAACAGTTTGAACAGAAGGGAAGGTGTGATGTTAGCTGATGCATGGTAAATCCTGATAAATGAATAAAAAATGGATATGTATCAATAATTGATCATACTTGTCCGAAATTTCTGATTGTCTATAACTTCTTATGAGGATGCTGAAAATGATTTGACTGTTCATCCACACACACACACGCACCATATACATATATAAATATATGATGTGGTTGTGTTTTCTGAGCTGGATAGTTAATTTGAGAAGCATTCATCGTCCTACTAGGCGATATCTTCATCGCATACTTCAATTTGAAGTTAGCTATTAGATTTCTCCACGAGTTTATTAATCATCACTCCTGGTGACTTTGGACGTGATTGGTTGTGTTTTGTGTCCACGTTCAAGGTCACCAAGAGAGATGATTAATAAGCTCGTGGAGAAATCTAATAGCTCACTTCTAATTGAAGTATGCACTGAAGATATCGCCTAGTAGGGCGATGAATGCTTCTCAAATTAACTATCCAGCTCAGAAAACACAACCACATCAAAATCATCCACCTGAGCTACAAATCTTCTCTATCATATATATTTTCATATCCAGTTATCTACGACCATGAAATTTTAGTTTACAGCAATCTGATAGTAAGTATAATCTGTTTAAATTGTTTAAAAATAGCAAACTAATTTTCGAAGTCCGAGGTGAAATTTTGATCACAGTTCATAAAATTTAGTTGACTATACATGTTCTTAATTGTTTCGGGACTTGTATGATTAAACAGAGGACAGAGGATTGGACTACGTTTATGCCTATCGGATGAAGAGACTCATAGTATCCATAATATCACTTCTATTGGATCGTTCACAACACCTGATGTCCGTTTTAGTCATGTTCATCCGGATATTGTCAGTCCACTACCTCCTGATGGCCACGCATACTTGCTCACCTGCGTCGATTGTTTCACTGGTTGGCCAGGAGCTGTTCCCATTGTGGATGTAATGGCTGAGACTATCTGTCGTGTGCTAATGGGAGGATGGGTCGCACAGTTTGGATGTTCAACTACAGTGACAACTGACTGTGGGCAGCAATTCAAGTCAAAAACTTTTAATAGGCTGCTGGAGCTGTTGTGATGCAAACGCATCAGAACAATGGCATACCATCAATCTGTAAATGAAGTAGTAGAGGGTGTTCATCGCCGACTTAAAGCTGCGTTAATGGCTGTCGACAACATCAAATGAACAGAGTCCCTTCCCTTGGTCCTCCTTAGCATTCATTCAGCCCTCAAGGTTGATATTCAGTGTACCACTGCCGAGTCGGTCTCTGGAACCACACTCCCTATGCCTGGCGAGATTATTTCGTCAGATGGTGTTGAACCAAGTGTCGCTGATGTCCGCTCTTAAGCTCAGCACCTAAAACGCTTTGTGAAACGACTCCAACCAACTGCCACACGCATTAAATACTAGAAGGTGCAAGTAGATGGCAGGCTTGAGGAATACACTCATGCTTTCGTGTGCTGTGACACCGTACGTAAACCTCTGCAACCCCCTTATGATGAACCTTTTTAAGGTCATTAATAGGAAAGAAATTCGTCGTATCGCACCACATCATAACGACTAGCTCATCTGTGTTTGCCGAAAAACAGCGGTTATCTTCATGTAACCTTAAGGCCGTCAACGCTAAGTTCAAATATATGGTCAAAATGGGGTTAGTGAAACAATCTAACAGCCCATTTTCATCATATTTGCAAGTAGCGCTTAAATATAAGTACATGGACTGAAGTCCGTTGGCGAGTACCGGAGACTTAATGCTAAAACAGTCTTGGACCATTAAACATCCCCATACATTACTTGATTTCAACTTTGTAAGGAGCACCTGTATTTGGCAATCCCTGCTTGGCATGTACCCTTCGCACCATCCTAGTTCATTCTGGTGATTTCTGGAAGATAGCAGTCGTTGTACATTCTTGTATTTCTGGGTCTATTCGCACGCCCTGCAGTCTACGCAACACTGCTCATCTGGGTGATATTTTGACAACCAGTCCAGAAGAAAGAGCTATGGAATTCTTCAACAGATCGGATGGCCACAGCAAACCCTACTTGGCCAGTAAATACGAATATAGAGCTTCTCTCAGTATTTGTGTTGATCTGTCTGACGGGTTAACTGCAACTTCCTAGAACAGTTTTACACGTTTCTTTGAGTATCATCTTCAGAGAGATAGTTACAAGGTTCTTCCACACAGGTTTCCTCAGTGATGCCACGTAGTGTCTCTGAATTAGCTCTTTGGCTTCAGTGAAGGTATCTTTTGTGGTTTCGTCTTTCAGTTCCTGAGTGTTGAAATTGGATTATGGTCTGTCTCCAGTCGTTCTGGAGCCCTTCAATCTGACCTTGAATGATCCCTCGAGCAGATAATAGTCCGAGCCGACATCTGCTCCACTCCTCGACTTTGAGTCCATCACGCTGCGACCACACTTTCTTGAGCAACACTTGGACGAAAATACCACGTCTCCATTTTTATTTTATCAAATTGAGAAACATAGTCTGACTGAGTTCCTGAAAGCTTTCGCCAGCCACTGTCACCTTGGTTCTCCGATTTTAGTGAAGAATAAGTGTTGATCATTTTTTTCTTGTGCTTTGAATTTTCTATCACCACCAGATTGATTTCCCGGAATAGAGTTTTCAGTCCGGAGCCCAGCCTTCCTTTTTATGGTTTAGGACTGACTAGAAAACCAGCAGACTAGTAGACTCAGACAGACTGAATTTAGTATTTGAGGGTACAATATTAAATTTAACACTGGGACCATAGTCAAATGGAAACGACAAAATGATCTCCCGGAATACAAGATGTGTCTCGGATTTCGACAAATGGAGTGATTATAACTGCTTGGCCAGCTAGGGCACGAGCGAGTAGGGCCAGGCTCAACACGACAGCATGACAAACGGGCTGGATGATTGGTGATGTGTCTTGACCAGTTGACTTAAACAGTTTAGTCGTTGCCCGGCGTTTAGTGAAGAATGCTGTCATTTAACAACCTTGGAGGGTTGTCTGTCACCACAAGTTAAATAGGGTCTACGACTGAGGAACACTACAGGTCTTGTTTAAAAACAATGTACTAAAAGCATTAAAAGTTCAGTTCTGTCTCACCTGGTAGGTTTTGGACATAGCACTAACGCTTAGACGTTACTTTTATCCTGATGAAGCTTGGATTAAAAGCGGTCAACCCCCACTGCTTAATTTTATCTGACCTTCCTTTATGAATCACTTTTTATAACACTCGGCAACAGTTTCACGTAATAAGTCTAGCTTTAGGGTACCATGGTAGGATGGAATTCCACATTAGATATGTATACTTGACAGAACACGCAGTGATACTGTTTTAATAAGTGAATACCGTTTCGAGCACAATTTATTGCACATGATCGCATCAATGTATCCACATGGATTCATTATTTGCTTTAGGTTTTGCTCTCTCTTGCTTTTTGTTGCAATTTCCCATATCTCCGGTGTAGGCTTCGCATCAGTTTGATTTTACGTGTTCGGTATTGATTTGGCGAACGAAGATTGTAATTGGTTGATTAACATTCCTCCCTCTCCACCTGACTTTAAAAAGTTTTATTACCTTCACCTTGTCCCACACTTATGTACGATACAGTGTAAGTGAATCCATTGCTCTAGAAAAGGTTTTCCAAATTATTTAAATTGACATGTTCAGTCATTCTGAGTGTACGTAAATTTTTCTGTTGCAGTGGCCCTATTGATTCTGCCTATATTAGTGACCTAACAGTCATTTTATGGTTCTTGGTAGATCCCATAATTTTTCTTCATCGAATCTGTTGGATCCTCAGACCAACAAAGTCTGAGTGTGCTTGTCTGACTGAAGTCTGCAATGTCTACAGCCTTATTAGGAGTTTTGACTATGATTTTCTGCTTTACAAAGCAGTGTTTCTGAGGCACTGAGTACCATATTTACAATCGTTTACGTTATTTTGAATATTTTCATTCCTGTCCAGAAAAACAATTAGCTAGCTTGCTAGCATAATTCGAGATCAATTCCAGTTGACTTAAACTAGACGTAAAGTTCTTGATTGCCATGTGGCAATCTGTCCTGGTAGACCTGAGCACTAGCCATACTAACTGCTAACTCTTCAACCCGGGTCAACTATCCTGGAGGCCATGTCGCCTTAAGCACTGCCGCAACTAGCGAAGGGAGTATATAACAATCATGCCCGCTGAAAGATATTTTTATTGACAATGTTTGAGCGAAAGAGCACAATTGGACAATCAAAGCAGGACGAAGCTGCCGAAGTCTTGTCAATTGGAAGATATATTGGCCACCATATCCTTCACTCCTCAC